GCGACGCCGACGACGACAACGACGAGGGAGGAGGGAAGACGACGACGATGACAACGACGACGAAGACGACGACGACGGCGACGAAATAAGGGACGACGACGAGACGCCGACGACGGACGACGACGACGAGGGAGGAGGATAACGACCAGGGAGGAGTGAAGAAGACGACGACGACGACGACGACGACGACGACGGCGACGAAATAGGAGGGACAACGACGAGACGCCGACGAAGACAACGAGGGAGGAAGGACGACCACGGCGACAACGACGACGGAAACGACGACGACGCCAAAGACGACGACGACGAACGAGGAAAGACAGAAGACGACGACGGCGACGACGACGACGACGACGGGAGGAGGGAGGACGGGACGACGACGACGACGACGACGCAAGAGCGCGCGCGCACGCTTTTGTTGAAAATCCGTGTTGCGAAACCTTAGGTTCTTGTAGTTTTTTGGACGCACGATTTTGAAATCCTTCTGAAACCGATGGTTTTTGAAGGATTTCGGCATACGCCCGCGACGACGCGCGCGTCTGCACTTCGTCCCATTTTTTGCAGAGGATTCTCGCGACGGCACACGCGCAAGGGCGTTCGACAGATTTCGACATGCGAAGCGCGCGCGAAGCCCGTTTGGTAGCATTTTATGAAAATCTTGGAAAACCTATGGTTTTCTTCAGATTTCGCAAGACCTCACGCGGAAGTTTTTCTAGCAAATCAGTGTTGCGAAACCCTGTGTTTTTGTATGTTTTTTGGAAACTCGATTGCGAAATCCTTCCGGCACCGAAGGTTTTTGAAGGATTTCGGCATGCGCGCGCGACGACGCGCGCGTGTGCACTTCGTCCCATTTTTTGCAAGGGATTCGTGAAAAAGTGTTCTGTTAGAACAAAAAATGTCACCGCATAAAGTTTTTACAAGGGAACCGCAGGGGGGGGGAACCCGGCCTGGCTGGGATAGTATGAATTCATATTTAGGATGGACATGTGGTCAGAATCATATGTAATTTACAGCACGCGCGGGGTAACCGATAAGTCCGGGGGGGGGGGGTAGAATCTATTAGTCTTTCAGAAAAGAGAATAAATTACTTGCCGAACTTGAAGTTGTCAACTCCACTGCTCGCGCAGTCATCCCACCCACCCACCCGCAACTTGGTTTGCAAAACCCATGCGGGACCGAGCACAGATATCGCTCCAGGGTCGTCTTGGAGCCCTCGCGGGCGTCTCAAGAGCGCCCCAAGAGGGCCGGAGAAGCAAGACGGCCGACGACGACGACGACGACGACGCCGACGTCGACGACGACGAAGACGACGCCGCCGACGCCGACGCCGACGACGACGTCGCCAACGAAGACGACGACGAGGGAGGAGGGAGGACGACGACGGCGACAACGACGACAACGACGACAACGAGGGAGGAGGAAGGACGGCGACGACGCGAACGACGAAGAAGGACGAAGGACGGCGACGCCGACGACGACAACGACGAGGGAGGAGGGAAAACGACGACGAGACGACGACGACAACGACGAGGGAGGAGGAGGAAGGACGACCACGGCGACAACGACGACGGAAACGACCACGACGCCAAAGAGGACGACGACGACGAACACGAGGAAAGACACAGGACGACGTAGGCGACGACGACGACGACGCGGGAGGAGGGAGGACGGCGACGACGACGAGGACGACGACGACGCCGCAAGAACGCGCGCGCACGCTTTTGTTGAAAATCCGTGTTGCGAAACCTTGTGTTTTTGTAGGTTTTTTGGACGCGCGATTTTGAAATCCTTCCGAAACCGTTGGGTTTTGAAGGTTTTCGGCGTACGTGCGCGACGACGCGCGCGTCTGCACTTCGTCCAATTTTTTGCAGAGGATTCTCGCGACAGCACACGCGCAAGGGCGTTCGACAGATTTCGACATGCGCGCGCGACGCCCGTTTGGTAGCATGGTGTGACAATCTTGGAAAACCAATGGGTTTCGGAAGATTTCGCAAGAGCTCGCGCGTAAGCTTTTTTAGCAGATCGGTGTTACGACACCCTGTGTTTTTGTATGTCTTTTGGAAACTCGATTGCGAAATCCTTCCGACACCGAAGGTTTTTGAAGGATTTCGGCATGCGCGCGCGACGACGCGCGCGTGCACTTCGTCCAATTTTTTGCAAGGGATTCGTGAACAAGTCTTATGTTAGAAAAACAAATGTCACCGCATGGTGTTTTTTTTACAAAGGAACCTCCGGGGGGAGGGAACCCGGTTGGTCTGGGACATTGTGATTTCATATTTAGGATGGACATGTGGTCAGAATCATATATGATTTACATACCCGAAAGGGGTAGCGATAACTCCGGGGGGGGTTGAGTCTATTCTCTTTTTAGAAAGGAGAATTGATTTTTTACTCATGATTTGACACATCCCACGCTCTTGCAAACATCCTACCCACCCATCCGCAACTTGGTTTGCAAAACCTCTTTCGGCCGACTACGACGACACCGACGACAACGACTACGACGACACCGACGACATCTCCGACGACTTCGACGACGACGACAACGACGCCGACGCCGACGCCGACGAAGACGACGTCGCCAACGAAAACGACGACGAGGGAGGAGGAAGGACGACGACGGCGACAACGACGACAACGACGTGGGAGGAGGGAGGACGGCGACGACGCGAACGACGAAGGAGGAAGGACGGCGACGCCGACGACGACAACGACGAGGGAGGAGGGAAGACGACGACGACAACGACGACGACGAGACGACGACGACGGCGACGAAATAGGAGGGACGACGACGAGACGCCGACGACGGACGACGACGACGACGAACACGAGGAAAGACAGAGGACGACGTAGGCGACGACGACGACGACGCGAGAGTAGGGAGGACGGCGACGACGACGACGCCGCAAGAGCGCGCGCGCACGCCTTTGTTGAAAATCCGTGTTGCGAAACCTTGTGTTTTTGTAGGCTCTTTGGACACACGATTTTGAAATCCTTCCGAAACCTATGGGTTTTGAAGGTTTTCGGCGTACGCGCACGACGACGCGCGCGTCTGCACTTCGTCCCGTTTTTGCAAAAAGGATTCTCGCGACGGCACACGCGCAAGGGCGTTCGACAGATTTCGACATGCGCGCGCGCGAAGCCAATTTGATAGCGTTTGGTGAAAATCTTGAACAACCTATGGTTTTCGGAAGATTTCGCAAGAGCTCGCGCGGAAGCTTGTTTAGCAAATCAGTGTTGCGAAACCCTGTGTTTGTGTATGTTTTTTGGAGACTCGATTGCGAAATCCTTCCGGCACCGATGGTTTTTGAAGGATTCCGGCATGCGCGCGCGACGACGCGCGCGTGTGCACTTCGTTTCTTTTTTTGCAAGGGATTCGTGAACAAGTCTTATGTGAGAACAAAACCTGTCCCCGCGTATCATTTTTAGAAGGGAACCTCAGGGGGGCGATCCCGGCCCCTCCGGGATAGTGTACATTCATCTTTAGGATGGACATGTGGTCATAATCACATATGATTTACATACTCGAGAGGGGGGGGGAAACGCCGGGGGGGGGTAGAGTCTATTGTCTTTTTAAAAAGGAGAACTAATTTCTGTTCGCAGTGAGTTGTCAGCTCCACTGCTCGCGCAACCATCCCACCCACCCACCCGCAACTTGGTTTGCAACACCGATGCGGCGGCGATTGCGGCGAGTGCTTGGCGTTGGCTGGTGTATCTCTGCGGCCGCGCTGGCCCGCGCATGCGCGCGCGCGAAGCGGCCTGCTAGTTTGGCGCGACCGACGCGGCCGCGGTGGCGCTGACCGCTGTGCACTCCCCAACGGGCACTTCTGTACGAGTCGGCGACTTGGGCGGGCGCGGTATCATGGCAACGCCGACAACAGTATACACGATCATGGTAGTAGCGATGCTTGTGGCGATGAAGAGATCGACGGCGGCAAGGCCAGTGACGGCGCCGACGACGATGACGGCGTCCTCGGGTCGGTGATGAAGGTTTTGGAAGGAGTTCGACATGCGCGCGCGGCCGACGCGCGAGAGTGGACCGCATGTTTTTTGACACGGATCGTGCCCGCCAGCACGCGCGCAAGAGCGAGACGACCCAAGAAGCCTCCAATAAGCCCCCCCCCCCCCCAAGCGGCCCCAAGAAACCATCAAGCGGAATTACATACGAATTGCGCGTTGTTGAGCTTGGCGTTGCCTTGTGCTGATACGCGGTGAATGGTCATTGCCCTCGTGGACATTCGCACGCTCGTCCTGGGATGACGCGGGGGGGGGGGGTCCCTCCGGCCCCCGTGGCACTCTCAGCGCCCCGGGGCGGGCAGAACGGCACGGCAGAACTTCGTGGCAGACGGGCACGGCAAACCATCCAACGCCCAGCCTTCACGTGCTCCAGACGTGCACTCCGCGAAGCGAGAGGAATCACTTATGTTTCGCCTCTCGGGGCCCTCTTGGGGATCGGGCCTCTTGGGCAAGTCTTGAAAGCATCTTGGACAATCTCGGGCCGTCCCTGGGCCCTCTCGAGACTCGGGGCCCTCCTGGACCGTCTTGAGACCTGAGACCCTCTTGGGACTCTCTGGAGCCCTTCTTGGGACTCTCCGATGGCCCAGGCCCTGGCCAGCCCCCACCGCTCCGCCAGGCATGCCACCGATTTGTTCAAGTGTCGAATTAAGGAACAAGGATAGGAGGAGAAGGAGGGAAGAGGAGGGAAGAGGAGGAGGGAGGACGAGGAGGAGGAGGAGGAAGAGGAGGAGGGGGAGGAGGAGGGGGAGGAGGAGGAGGGGGAGGAGGGGACGAAGGGAAGGAGGAGAAGGACGAGGAGGCGGAGAGGAGGGAGGATGAGGAAGAGGAGGAGGAGGAGGAGGAGGAGGAGGAGGAGGAGGAGGAGGAGGAGGAGGGAGAGGAGAAGGAGGAGGAGGAGGAGGAGGAGGAGGAGGAGGAGGAGGAGGAAGAGGAAGACGACGACCACATCGTCGACGGCCGGATGAGGCGGGGGAGGCTCGCTCCATGACGTGCTGCAGCACCTCGCCCGGCAGCTCCCAGAAGCCCAGGCCACCTCGCAGTCTGCTCGTCGTCGTCGTCGTCGTCGTCGTCGTCGTCGTCGTCGTCGTCGTCGTCGTCAGTCGTCGGCGTCGTGCTCGTGCTCCTCATTGTCATCATCGTCGTCTTCGTCGTCGTCGCCGTCGCCGTCGCCGTTCCACGTCGTCGTCACCGTCGTCTTCGTCGTCGTCGTCGCCGTCGCTGTTTCACGTCGTCGTCGTCGTCGTCACCGTCGGCGTCGTCGTCAGTGTCATCGTCATCGTCATCGTCATCGTCATCGTCGTCGTCGTCGTCGTCGTCGTCGTCGTCGTCGTCGTCGACCTCCTCGTCGTCGTCGTCGTCGACCTCGTCCTCGTCCTCGTCCTCGTCGTCGTCGTCGTCGTCGTCGTCGTCGTCGTCGTTGTCGCCATCGTCGTGGTCTTGACCGTCGCCATCGTCCTCGTTATTGTCGTCGGTCGTCGCCGTCGTCGTGATCGTCGTCGTTGTTTTCGCCATCACCGTCGTCCCTCTCTCCCGCCTCCACTGTTTTCTCCTTGGGGCACGGGCTTTGACGTTTTTCCCAACCATCCTGTGGTTTTGGGCTCTCGTTTTGAAGAGACAATGCCGCGCGTCCCTCCATCCTCTCCTCCTCCTCCCTCCCTCCTCCCGTCATCATTATCATCACCATCGTCATCGTGATCGCCATTATCATCATCCTCGTCACCATCATCATCGTCCTCATCATCGCCATCAGCTTCGTGGCCCCATTGGGAGCTCCATCTGGGGTCCCATTGGCGCAGTTCGCATGGCGGCACCGCCCCATTTCGGCACACGCCTCACACGCTTCGTGGCCTCATAGGGAGCTCCACCTGAGGTCCCAGTGGCGCAGTTCGCATGGCGGCGCCGCCCCATTTTGGCACACGCCTCACACGCTTCGTGGCCCCATAGGGAGCTCCACCTGAGGTCCCAGTGGCGCAGTTCGCATGGCGGCGCCGCCCCATTTCGGCACACCCCTCACACGCTTCGTGGCCCCATAGGGAGCTCCACCTGAGGTCCCAGTGGCGCAGTTCGCATGGCGGCGCCGCCCCATTTTGGCACACGCCTCACACGCTTCGTGGCCCCATAGGGAGCTCCACCTGAGGTCCCAGTGGCGCAGTTCGCATGGCGGCGCCGCCCCATTTTGGCACACGCCTCACACGTTTCGTGGCCCCATAGGGAGCTCCACCTGAGGTCCCAGTGGGTTGTTCGCATGGCGGCGCCGCCCCATTTTGGCACACGCCTCACACGTTTCGTGGCCCCATAGGGAGCTCCACCCAAAGTCCCAGTGGCAGGGTTCACATTGCGGCGCCGCCCCATTTAGACACACCCCTCACACTCTTCGTGGCCCCATAGGGAGCCCCCCGAAGACGATACTCACGACTGCGGTATTCACAGCTGCATATGGTTGGGTCTTTCGCCAAGCTGATTTGCCTTTCTTGGGCCCTCTTGGGCGCCCCCTCGTCGCCAGGGCTGGGTCCGCCCTGGAAAATCCTGGTCATTGCGCGCCCCTGGAGAGGTCGGGGGGTCGACACTGAGGAGAGGGGTCGCCGTCGGCGGCGGCGTCGTCGGCGCAGGTCTCCTCCGTCCTCCAGGTGGGGGGCAGCGAAGGAGGGAAGGACGAAGGGAGGAGGGAGGAAAAGAGGGAGGGAGAGAAGGGTGAGGAGGAGGGTCGGCCTGGAGGGGTGGCTGGCTCCTCTGCGTACCGGTGGCGGATTGGGTGGACAGCAGCCGCGCGATAGAGAGAGAGAGAGAGAGAGAGGGAGAGAGATAGGGAGAGAGAGAGAGAGAGAGAGAGAGACAGGAGAGGAGAGGAGCCGCCGCCGCCGCCGACGACGACGACCTCAGGCCGTCGTCGTCGCGTGTTTTTCTCGTGGGGTGAGCCGCTGGACGCCTCGACCCTCTCGCCCGAGGCAGGGCCCCCTCCGCGGGCCGCCCGCCCCCCCCCCCGCAGGCCGGGCCCGGCCGCGGCCCCCCGCGGCCGACACGACGCGCGGCAGCGCGAGCCGGGGCAGGCAGCACGCGGGCGACGACACCGAGGCCGACGACCACAATGAAGGGGCCCTGGGACACACAGATAAATACACACAAATAAACATATCCCCATATTTTCTGGCTTTTCGCCTTCCCCCCCCACTTCCCATATTTTCCCCTATTTTCCGGGGGATCGACGATTCATTGTGGCTGTGTGTTTTTTCCCCTCCTGACACGAGGCCGACGCACACGGCGGCGGCGGTGCCGACGCCGACGCCGACACCGGCGGCGGCGGCGGCAAGGCCGCGGGCGGGCGGGGCGCGGCCGACCGGCCTGCCGCGGCGTCGGCGGCCGCGGCGCCGTCCGCCTCGGCCGCGGCCAGCGCGGCGGCGAAGTCGAAGCGGCTGAGTGGCGGAGCCCCCGGCTGCAGCGCCGAGGGCGGCACCCAGGCGAGCCGGAGCCTGCCGAGAGGCCCAGGCCGACGACGACGACGACGACGACGACGCTATCAAAAACCTGTGGGGCGAAGAATGATCCGCCACCGTGCCTCTGGGCATGGAGAGGGCGTGTCCTCGGGTCCTGTGCCCCATCCCCTGAGCCTCAGCCCCCATTCCTGAAGAATTTCGTGAGGCCCCCGGAAACCAAGTTCACAAATCTCCTGGGGCTTGGCGCGGTTGCCTTGGGCCTTGGCGCATCTTGTCGCGAGACTTTCTCGTACCCATCTGCGCCTCGAGACGGGCCAGGAAAGCTCCAAGAAGCCCCCAAGACGGCCCAAGGAGGCCCTGAGTCGCCGAACGATCGCTCCAGGACGCTCAAGATGACCCCCAAGAAGCCCCCCAACAGCGCCCCATGAGGCCAAAATCATAGAATTCCCGTTTTTTTTGTTTTTTTTTTTGTTTTTGTTTTTTCTCCCTTCAAAAAGGATTTCGGCGTTCTCGCCTTTTCGGCTCCCCGACGCTCCTAGGCCCTGGAGGCTCCCAAGACAAAACGGCCCAAGAGGGCCCCAAGACAGCCCGAGAGGCGCCCAAAACGGCCCAAGAGGGCCACAGGACGGCCCCCAACAGGGGCCCCAAGGAGGAAACACGAACCAAACATCCGAGCCTTCCGCCCTAAAGGGGCCCCCAGGAGGCCCCCAGGAGGCGTCAATACTGCCTCCAAGAGGCCCCCGAGAAGCCTCCCACGAGATCCCAGCGAACATCCAATAGGCTTCATACCTGCAACCCAAGCACGGTGGCGGGATGGGCCGAAAGTTATTCGATCCGCCACCCCTTGTGGTCTTGCCACAAGGGTGCCTGGCGTGCTGAATCCTTTTGCTTTTGGCTTTGGTTCTTTTTCCAGTCTCCCTGGGGCTTCGGCCCGTCCCGCCGGCCACCCGGAAGTGCGCGCGAAAGGTGTCTGCAAAGGGTCTTTCGGCTTCAGACGGCTCCAAGATGGCCTCCTAGTTCGCCCAAGATGGTCGAAGATGGTCCAAGATGCCTCCAAATCCGCCCAAGAAACCACCAAAACGGCCCAAGACGGCCCAAGAGGTGCCCAAGAGGCCTCCAAGACGGCCCAAGAGGCTTCAGAGAGGTTTTCCAGGAGGGCCCGAAGAGGCTAAAATCATTGATCGCCCCAAGTCGGCCCAGAGAGGCCCCCAATGCGGCTTCCGACGGCGTCAGACGGGCCAGGAAAGCTCCAAGAAGCCCCCAAGACGGCCCAAGGAGGCTCTGAGTCGCCGAACGATCGCTCCAGGACGCTCAAGATGACCCCCAAGAAGCCCCCCAACAGCGCCCCATGAGGCCAAACTCATAGAATTTCAGTTTGTTTGTTTTTTTGTTTTGTTTTGTTTTCGTTTTTCCTCCCTTCAAAAAGGATTTCGGCGTTCTCGCCTTTTCGGCTCCCCGACGCTCCTGGGTCCTGGAGGCTCCCAAGACAAAACGGCCCAAGAGGGCCCCCAAGACAGCCCAAGATGCGCCCAACACGGCCCAAGAGGGCCACAGGACGGCCCCCAACAGGGGCCCCAAGGAGGAAACACGAACCAAACATCCGAGCCTTCCGCCCTAAGGGGCCCCCAGGAGGCCCCCAGGAGGCGTCAATGCTGCCTCCAAGAGGCCCCCGAGAAGCCTCCCACGAGATCCCAGCGAACATCCAATTGGCTTCATACCTGCAACCCAGGCACGGTGGCGGGATGGGCCGAAAGTTATTCGATCCGCCGCCCCTTGTGGTCTTGCCACAAGGGTGCCTGGCGTGCTGAATCCTTTCGCTTTTGGTTTTGGTTCTTTTTCCAGTCTCCCTGGGGCTTCGGCCCGTCCCGCCGGCCACCCGGAAGTGCGCGCGAAAGGTGTCTGCAAAGGGTCTTTCGGCTTCAGACGGCTCCAAGATGGCCTCCAAGATGGCCTCCAAGTTCGTCCAAAATGGTCGAAGATGGACTCCAAGACGGCCCAAGAGAGTCCAAGATGCCTTTAAATCCGCCCAAGAGACCTCCCAAACGGCCCAAGACGGCCCAAGAGGTGCCCAAGAGGCCTCCAAGACGGCCCAAGAGGCTTCAGAGAGGTTTTCCAGGAGGGCCCGAAGAGGCTAAAATCATTGATCGCCCCAAGTCGGCCCAGAGAGGCCCCCAATGCGGCTTCCGACGGCGTAAGACGGGCCAGGAGCCCAGCAAGGATGACCGAAGTTGGCTCGAAGCTGGCCAAGACGGCCCAAGAGGCCTCCAAGAGGGCCTCCAGGAAGGCCAGAAGAGGCCAAAATCATTTATTTTCAAAGGTTTTTGAATGATTTTGAGATTTGCTTCTTTTCGGCCTTCCGACGGCCCGAGTCGGCCCAAGAGCCCCCAAAGATCGCCCCAAGATTGCCCAAGAGGCCTCCAAGATGGCTCCAGAATGGCCCAAGAGGCCCCCAAGACTGCCCTAAAAGGCCCCCAAGACGGCCCAGGAGGCCTCTAAGCCGCCCAAGATGGCCTCCAAGACGGCCCTGGAGCATTCCAAGAGGGCTCCAAGTCGGCCCAGAGAGGCTCCCCAAACGGCTTCCGACGGCGTCAGACGGGCTAGGAGCCCACCTAGACGGCCGAAGATGGTCCTAAGATGGCCTAAGACGGCCCAAGAGGCCTTCAAGAGGGCCTCCAGGAAGGCCCGAAAATGCCGAGATCATTGATTTCCCCAGAAGTTTTTGAAGGATTGTGTTGTTTTGTTTTTTTCGGCCTTCTGACAGCCCGAGACGGCCCGAGAGCCCCCCAAGATCGCCCAAGAGGTCTCCAATATGGCCCCAGAACGGCCCAAGAGGCCCCCAAGACGGCCCCAAGAGGCCCACAAGACGGCCCAAGAGGCCACCAAGACGCCCAAGCTGGCCTCCAAGACGGCCCTGGAGCACTCCAAGAGGGCCATAAGACGGCCCAGAGAAGCCCGAAAGACGGCTTCCGACGGCGACAGACGGGCCAGGAGCCCAGCAAGACGGCCAAAGAGGCCCCCGAGAAGCCCCCAAATGTCCAAGAGGCTCCCAGGAAGCTCCCAGGAGGCCCCAAGAGTGTCCCCAGAGGCTCCCAAGATGCCCCCTCCTCCTCCTCCTCCTCCTCCTCCTCCGCCTCCTCCTCCTCCTCCTCCTCCTCCTCCTCTCCTCCTCCTCCTCCTCCTCCTCCTCCTCCACCTCCTCCTCCTCCTCCACCTCCTCCTCCTCCTCCTCCTCATCATCCACCTCTGGCAGAGCTTTTGCCACAACGCTCGGCCACATGGGCGATTCTAGAAGGCGGGGGGCGGCGGTGCTTCGCCGTAGGCGTCTTCGATCCGCCGCCCCTGTTGGCTTGCCATAGGGGTGCCCGGCGTGCTGAATCCGTTTTTTTTTTTTTGTTCTCTCTTTTCTTCTCCAAGAACGCCCCCTAGGGCTTAGGCTCCTCCCGCCGGCCACCTCGAAGGGCGCGCAAAAGGTGGCTGCAAAGGGTTTTTCGGCTTCAGACGGCTCCAAGATGGCCTCCAAGATGGCCAAGATGGCCTCCAAGTTCGCCCAAGATGGTCGAAGATGGACTCCAAGACGGTCCAAGAGAGTCCAAGATGCCTCCAAGTTCGCACAAGAAACCTTCAAGACGGACCAAGAAGGCCACACATGCCTCCAAGAGGCCTCCAAGACGGCCCAAGAGGCCTCCAAGAGGTCCTCCAGGAGGGCTCGAAGAGGCCAAAATTAATGATTTCCCTGAGGTTTCTGAAGGATTCTGGCTTTTGCTATTTTCCAGCCGTCCGACGGCCCACGACGGCTCAAGAGGGCCGAAAGATCGCCCCCAGAGCGCCCAAGAGGCCTCCAATATGGCCCTGACGGCCCAAGAGGCCTCCAAGACGGTCCCAAGACGGCCCAAGAGGCCACCAAGACGGCCAAAATGGCCTCCAAGACGGGCAAAATAGCCTCTAAGATGCCTCCAATACGGAGAAGATGACCTCCAACACGGCCAAGATGGCCGTTAAGACGGCCAAGATGGCCCAAGATTGGCCCGAGAGGCTTCCCAGATGGCCCCAGAGGAATCCAAGAGGCTCTCTAGGAAGGCCCGAGGGAGCCAAAATTATTGTTTTTTTCCGTAGGTTTTTGACACATTTTGGCTTTTTCTCAGTTTTGGTGTTCCGGCCGCCCAAGACGGCCCAAGGAGTCCCCAAAATCGTCCCAGAGGCCTCCAAGATGGCTCCAGAATGGTCCAAGAGGCCCCCAAGCTATCCCCAAGAGGGTCCCAAGACGGCCCAAGAGGCCCCCAAGACGCCCAAGATGGCCTCCAAGGTGTCTCAAGACGGCCACGATGCGCTCCAAGACGGCCGAGATGGCCTCCAAGACGGCAGAAAAGCTGCCTCCAAGAGCTCCACCAGGAAGGCCCAAAGAGGCCCAAATGATTGATGTTCCATCGGTTTTTGAAGGATTTTGGGATTTTCTTCTTTTCAGCTCTCCGACGGCCCAAGACGGCCCAAGAGGCCCCCAACATCGCCCCAAGAGCGCCCAAGAGCCCAAGATGGCCTCTAAGACGGCCAAGATGGCCTCCAAGATGCCTCCAAGACGGCGAAGAAGGCCTCCAAGACGGCGAAGATGGCCCCAAGATGCACCCAAGACGGCCCCAGATGGCCTGAAGATGGCCTTAGACTGCCCAAAAGGCCCGCCAGAGGCCTCCAAGACGGCCCAAGACCTCTTCAAGACGTCCTCCAGGAGGCCCGAAAGCTCGGAAACCACCTGGTCCAATAGCTCGCCCGACTCCGTGAGACACTTCACTGGGCCATTTCTCCAATACTGCCTTGCATGCCGCCACACGTCTGTTTCCCTCACTGGTTTCACTTCTTGCCGACGCGCCGTCCAGGCGCGGAACCCTGCGTGCGTGCGTGAGTCTCGATCTCGTCGTCATGTCATGTCGCAACATGATACGCTGTTACGGCATGATCACGCCGCGAGCACGTCGGCATTGGTTTCTGGCTCCGCGTGGGTCGTTCAATCTTGAGCAATCGCGGGTGTCCGATAGCGCAAACCTCTCGGTACTCGTAGATTCTGGGGCCCTTGGCAGTTTTTAACCTTGAGCGCCCGCGCTGGGATCGCCGCCACGTCAAGGCGCCGCGAACCTGTATCAGTGTCGGCATGCGTGCCTCCTCTGGTCCTTGACGAAATCCGCTTGGCTTCAATCCCTTGACCCCTTCATGGCTCCGTCTGGGCAAGCTGTTCACCCCGGGTCGGCTTTTGCTAGCACTGGGTCCCACGCGACTGAGCATGTGATGAAGAAAACCTGAACTTAAGAAATCTGGGCCAACTTCCCCGAAGTTTCTTAAAATAAGCCTGGGCCAATCTCTGTTGCTAACGCTGGACAGGAACTTGGCCAACTTTCAAGCAACTTGGCTAAGAACTGTTGGCCCAACTTTCTGAGAGGAGGCTTCTTAATCCGTAAACGGGCATCCAAGCGTCAAGGAATCAGAAAAACGGTGAGAACAAACAACGACGCTGGGGAGCTGCCTCCGATGCCGCGGGGATATCTTCTGGGTCGACCTGGAGCAGGACGAGCACGACGGCGAGGACTGAGGCGACGGTGGTGGCAACGACGACGACGACGGAGGCCGAAGCGGCGGAGACGATGCCGGCGGCAACGATAACGGCGCAACGACGACGATGACGACGACCACGACCACGACGACGACGACGACGACGACGACGACGACGGCGGAGGCGGAAGCGGCGGCGGCGACAATCGCGACGGCGCCGACTTCCGCGCCGATGCCCAAGGCCGCCGGAGGTTACTCGCCGCAGGCCGCCGAGCGCCGCCGAAGGGCCGCCCATGGCGACGACGAGGGCGGCGCCGACGAGGCCGACGACGACGAGACGATGCCGAGGAGGGCGGCGTCGGCGCGCCTCGACACGCCGGAGGCGCCGGCAGCCGCCGCCTGCGCGCCGAGCGGCGCCCCGGCGCACTGCCAGGACGCAGGCGGCGGCGCCTGGCCCGCCGCCGCCAGCCGCCGCGGCGTCGCCGCCGGCCGCCGCGGTGGCCGCCGCCGCGGCTCCGCGGGCGGCGGCGCCCGGCTCGCAGTCGCTGCAGCGCTGCGGCGTCGCCACCGACGCCGTCGTCGCCGCCCCCGCGGCGGCTCGTCGCGGCTCGCGGTCGGCAGAGCGCGCGGCTGGCTCGCCCGCCACCGCATCCGCTCGTCGCCGGCGCCCCCGCGGCGGCGGTCGAACGCTCTTCGCGCTGCCCTTCGAGGGCCGGAGTTGTCCGAGGCTTCGATCGAGGCCTCGACGCCTCCGACCAGAGCCTCGATCCTTGAGGCCTCGGAGCTTCTTGGCGCGCTCGGTCTTTTTTGTCGGCCGTGGCTGCCAGGAGCCTCGCGGGGCCTTCACAGACCTCGACGGAGGCGGCGGCACCTGTATCGAGGACCGAATGAATTTCTCGCCATTCTCTGCCTCGGCCCCAGGGCCATGAGAGATCGACGTGGGGCGAAAAGCTGCCCAGATTGGATCCCGGGAGGGGTTCGGGGACTGATGTTTGAGCGGATTTCGTTTGCCACCACCGCCTCCGCTGTCGTGATCGCTGTTGTCGTTGTAGTCGTCGTCGCCGTCGCCTTCGACGTGGTCGTGGTCGTGCTCGTGGTCTACGTCGTCGTCGTCGTCGTCGTCGTCGTCGTCGTCGTCGTCGTCGTCGTCGTCGTCAAGGCCATCGTGACCGTGGTTATCGTCGTCGAGGTCGTGGTGGTCGTGACAGTTGTCGCGGTCGTCGTGGTGATCGTCGTCATCGTCGCCTTCCCCAGACGGGCAAGAAGGTGTCCTCCTGCCTTCTCCTCCACGTCCTCTCCGTAGCCGTCTTGGCTCAGGGACGCGCTGAGCGACAGTCGAGATCTCTGCAGTCTGGCCTTCCAGCGGCAACGGACGCGGGGGTCGCGGCGAGCTCGCCATTGAGGGCGGCGTGGCCGCGCAAGCTCTGAAGGTCTGCAGTGGGGCTCCGTGGAGGGCAGGGGCGCGAGGTCGGCCATCGCGGACGGCGCGGTGCTCCCGGGTGCCGCCAGGCTGCGGGTGTGCGTGCTGGCCCAGCACGCGCGGAGGCACCGCTCTGCATCGTGCACTGCCGCGCGCAGCAGGGGGCACCGCTCGGCGAGGCGTCGCCCCTGGGCCGCGGCGGCCTCTCGGCGCGGGAGGGTGGCAGCTCTGAGGCGGGCAGATCCTGGCACAGAGCCTGGCAGGTAGCAGTCGGGCCCGGAGGGAAAGGGGTCCTGGGCCCCGGGGCCTTCCCACCAGAAGAGATTCTCACTGCGAGCTGATGTTTGTGGACAGTTCCGGGGCCCGTCGGGGGCCCCGGGGAGCCCGGAGGAACGACGACGGACCTGGGGACCCGTCTCCCTCAGGACCCGCCTCCTTCCAGGGCGACGAGGTGCAGGCGGAGCGATCGGCGGGGCTGGCCCCGTGCTCCCGGAGGGCAGGGCGCGCATAGACGAGCGCGTTCCACTACTCGCAGAGTAACTGCTCGCAAATGGCCTGGGCCCCCCGCAGTGCATCTGCGATCCATGACATCGGAGCAGACACGTGTTTTCTGGACGTTTGCGAGCAGGCACTCTGCAAGTAGTGGAACGCGCTCGGTGAACGCAGGGGGGCCTCTCCAGCAAGTGCAGGGCGCCTCCCCTCCAGCAGCGGGGGGCCGGAGCGAGGGGCCGCCCGCAGGGCCGCGCCGCCCCCTGCGCGAGGGGCGGCACGAGGCCGGGTGGGCCCCGCTGCGGGCCAGAGGCCCGCCCAGCGAGACGGCGCGGTGGGCACCCGCCCGGAAGGTCCCGCGCGCGAGCGGCGCGGCCCCGGCGCCAGCGGGCGGCCAGGGCCTGAGGGATGAGGGCAGCACAGCCCACTCCCACCCCCAGCGAGGACCCCCACTCCCGACCTGGTGATCCAGGGGATCCTGGCTGGGGTTGAGGGCTGTGTTCTGGCGCCCAGGAGCCTCTCCAAACCACCTCCTCCACCCCCAGCTAGGACCCCATGGATCACCAGGTCGGGAGTGGGGGTCCTTACTGGGGGTGGGGGTGGGTTGTGCTATCCTCAGGGAGGGGGGGTGGGGGTCAGCGAGCCGATCCTGCCCCTCGCCATCGCTCGGACGTCCACTCCCCGTGCATTTTTCGGTGTCCTGCGTGCTCTTGCTTGCCAGAGGGTCCAGGATGCTCCTCGAGGGTCCTCGCGGAACAAAAGTGCATACGCCGAAGCCACACCACGGCCCCAGGCTCCGTAGGATGGCGATGATGAAGCGAAACCTTTCGCCCAGTGCATCAGCGCCTGAGCGCATCAGTGCATCCACGCCCGAGTGAAGATGGCGATGGGCGTTGCGAATACTTTTCCGCTGGCGGCGAGGCAGGGTCGGCTACACGCAAGAGTGACCCTGGGTAAGAGTGACCTTTGGTGCGCAGCTTTTTGGGGGCCGCGGGGAGACCAAACCTGGGCGCGCAAGCCGCTGCTACCGCTTCCTTTTCAGCCATCTGAGGGCCCATCTGTGCCCGCACCAAAGGGCACTCCGGCGAAAGGTCACTCTTACGTCTAGTCGACAGGGGCGGTCCGCTCTCGAATGGCTCATTGGCCGGCGTGCAGGAGGAGGGGAGGCGTCGGGTGTACACACAGGGCCGATGGGACGAGCAGTGATGCGGCGAAGACCGTGCGGGCCGGCGTCCGAGGATGGCCCGCGCGGCCGCGGCTTGCGGAGGGGGGCGTCGCCCGCGGCGGGCGAGGCGCGCCGCGCCGGGGACGCCGGGAAGACGCAGCCCAGGTCGGGGAAGCGGAACAAGAAGAGGCAGCAAGCACGGGCCCGACCGCAAGACACCGTCCACAAGAAGCCCAATCCTGAGACCCCAGGACGTCCATCGATTTTTGGCGCTGGAGCGTCGCGCTGTCCAGAGCAGAACCAGTGAAGCCCGAGAAACCCAGGGCACCCTGGAGGCACGCGCGGTGTTCCTTGGCACGGGCCCCCACTCCACGACGAGCGCGGCAGGAAGGTCAAGGAGACTCTGGACGAGGGCGCCGTGCTCGAGGAGGCAGGCTGGCGCCGCGCGCGGAGGGCGTCAGGGCCAGGGAGGAGGAGGAGGAGGAGGAGGAGGAGGAGGAGGAGGAGGAGGAGGAGGAGGAGGAGGAGGAGGAGGAGGAGGAGGAGGAGTAGGAGGAGGAGGAGGAGGAGGAGGTGGGTCGGATGCTTTCAAGAAGGCCTCTTAATCCGAAAGCCTTTATAATGGCGTCGACGACCACAGTGCCGGGGAACTGCTTTGAACAACGCCAGTCGTTCAAAGCAGTGCCCCGGCGCTGCTTTGAACGATGCGGAAATGCGATCAGCAGGAGCCTTCGCCTGTTCCTTCTCCTCTCCTCGTCGCTGTATCCTCTTCCTTGTCCTCCCTCCTCCCCCGTTCCCTCTCTACCTCGTTCTCTCCGTCTCATGCGCACTCTTCCTCCCCCCTCTCCTCCTCCTCTTCCTGCTTCTCCTCCTCGTCCTCCTCCTCCTCTGCCTCCTCCTCCTCATTTGTCCTATTTCTCCGTCCTCGTCCTCCTATCCCCCTCCCCCTTCTCCCTCTCCTCCTTCTCCTCCTCCTCGTCCTCCTCCTCTTCCTCCTCCTCCTCCTCCTCCTCCTCCTCCTCCTCCTCCTCCCCTTCTTCCTCCTCCTCCTCCTCCCCCTTTTCCTCTCCCTCCTCCTCCTCCTCCTCCGCCTCCTCCTCCCCCTTCCCCCTCTTCCTCCTCTGCTATCACTCCTCTATAATTCCTGTCCGCTCCTCCCCTTCACTGATCCTCCTCTTCGTCGTCATCATCCCTTTCGTCCTCCTTCGCACGCCTCTTAATCCTCAATCGGTTCCCAATCTTCTCGACTTTCTTGTCATCCGCGTCCTTGGCTCTTGAAGGGGCCTCAGGGTTTCTCAGGGCTCTTGTTTGGCACGCGAAGACACACCTCCCAGGAACGCATCATCCTCCTCACCTCCACCCTCCTCCTCCTCATCTTCCTCCTCCATGCATGTTCGGCTCAAGCCCGCGCCGACGGCAGGTTCCACGGCGGTTGGGCGGGCTCGCGCCCGCCTCCGCGGCCTGCAGTCGGGGCAGAGATGCGTGCAGGGTGGGATGACAAAACAGAAAAGGAAACACGGGCCGCAATTGCGGATTCTTCACAAAGCAGCGGTGGCGGTTGGGGAACAAGTGAGGATTGGGGCGGCCGCAGTGGCGGATACGGTGGCGGAGGTGACCGCAGTGGCGGCTGGGGCGGCGGAACTTCTCTTGGCGGATGGGGAGGAAAAGCGCAGGAGGGCGGCGACGGAAGTGACCGCAGGCGCGGATGGGAGGGCGGCGGATGGGAGCGCGGCGGCGGATGGGGCGGCAACGGATGGGAGGGTTCGGGAATGGAGGGCGCCCGCTGGTGGGACGACGAGGGTGGCTGCTGGAATGCATGGGAAAGGGGCCGCTCGAGTGCTTGGGATGGTTCTCCTGCCGCGGGGCCCGCGGCCGCAACAGCGGCGGGCAAAGGAGGCCGTCCCCTACTTCCCCCAGAACGCGAAGGGCAAGGCGCAGTTGCGCTTTCTCAAACTGTGGGCCAGGAGCCAGGGCCTATTTTCAGGTTGGACTTCTTCGAGAACTTCAGGGCGGACTGGTCTGGGAATTATAAGCAGCACAACGCGGCCTTGAAGTTTTTCCGAGACGAGTTCGAAGACCGAGAAAACCCTTTCGGCAGCCGCGCGCCCGTCTTCGGAGGTACCGCAGTTGCGGAGGACACTTCGAAGATCCTTAAGTACCGCGCAAAGGGGAAGGCGCAGGACAACAGGGATTGGGACTGGGACCACACTGTCAAAGTGCCGTGGTCTTGGCTGGAGATGGCCGCGCAGATGGATGGACCTACAATGCTGCGCGTCGTGTGCGGCCCTGACAATGACCGCAGTCGCGGGTTGGTCCGCTGCGAGTGCAGCCCGTGCCCTAACAGTCTCGACAACATGAGGCGCGCGAAAGGGGTGG